CCACACTCTGGTGAAAGTGATTAAATCTAAATATAAATATAAACACGAGTGCAAAGTTGTAACACGAGTGCAAATTACAAATAGCACGCGTGCACTGTCAAGATTTCGTGTGTCACTTGACTTTTTGTGATACTTTTTTCATGAAGATTAATAATATTATTATGTAAAAACATGATTTCTCGTCCTATCTGGTGTAAATAAGCACTTGTAAAATTTTTCAAAGACTACAAATTGCACTCGCCCAACGGGCTTGTGCAAATTTGTTGTTTTTGAAAGATTTACTCGTGCCCATTAACACCAAATTGCTCTCGAAATCATGTTCTACCCATACTGAACATCAACAGGTTATAATCTCTTTTAAACATGTATTTGTCGGTTTCTTTGCTCTCCTGGAGGGCCCTTCCGTATTAAATCGTGTAACTATGTTCCCTCTTTACAGGGATCTTTCAGGCTACAATTGATGACGTAGGTTACTCATTACGTAACCACACCAAGCGTCACCATCAGGTTCATGACGTCATGGACTGTTTCGAGAAGTGCCTTGCTGATCCCCAGTGCCTGTCTTTCAACTTTGAGCATGATTCGGTACTACCCACAAGAAAATGCGAGTTAAATGGAGTCACGAAAGGACAAGATCCACGGAATTACGTCAGAAGACCTGGTTACACATACTATGACAGAGTTTGAATATCACAGCTCAAATTAGTCAGTGCTGGCTTTCAAATCACTGTTGTAGCGGCTGTTAAAACAGTTTTTAATGCATACGGCATTGATCGCACTTGGGAATAGTTATCCTACATGTGTCTTTTCAGAACTTGGTGCTTTCGATATGGATGGTTGTCAGTTTAACTAGCCCAATATTTTAACTAGATAGAGTATGTGCTATCTCCTTAAGTACTCAACTTCCACCCATCTGTAACTGCTCTATGGTAGAAGCCAATTCGAAAGCCTGGCTCCTTTGGCTACTACACACTCTTTCCACTACTTTGTGTAATTTTATGTGTAGTTCAATAGAACTCTCTTATTTTTTTCTTTTTTTGTTTCTTGCTGTTGTATTTTTTTAGTAGAATAAGTGTGAATAAAGTTCTGAAGTTCTGAAGTTCTGCGATGGTTTTGCTTTGCCAATTATCGAAACTCTTTGCAAGGAGCATCATAACTATTTCAAGAAGCGGCGCATGATAGCTATATCTTTTCTTGCAAGCAGTAAACAAACAATCTTTCAAAGCGTCAAAACACTGACAGAGTCCGACCGTACTTATTTGACTAAAATGTTTCCTCAGAAAAGTTAAAAATTAACATTTGCCTGGTGAAACCCATGCCTTATCCTTAATATTATTTTTATTGTTTTACTGTCACTATAACTATCTATTTTGATTTCTTCCAGTAACTTATTTAATCATTTTCAAACGACCCCACAAGCTATGTAACTCTATATCATGTTGAAATAAAGCTCATCTACACCTGATCAAGACAATACAATTTCTTGACAATATCTATATATCTATCTATCTATTTATCTATCTATCTATCTATCTATCTATCTATCTATCTACCTATATCTTCCTACCTACCTACCTACCTACCTATCCATCTATCCATCCATCCATCTATCTATCTATCTATCTATCTATCTATCTATCTATCTATCTATCTATCTATCTATCTATCGTAATTTGAGTGTTCTAAGAAGGGTTAAACCTTTTCTATAAACAGAAAACCCAATTGACATTTACAGGTCAATAATTGAGCCTTATGTATGATGCACGATCCTCGCAGTAGAGAGCGCTATTTATGCAATAGCGAAAATCAGACCTGAAAAAAGTCAGGCCTGTACGGGATTCGAACCACTGACCTCTGCGATACTAGTGCAGCGCTCTACCAATTGAGCTAACAAGCCAACTGGGAGCAGGCCGTTAAGTTGATTCGCAATAAACCCGTGATGATAAATCAGATACAATGAATATATGAACTTTCATATATTCATTGTATCCAATTGAGCCTTACTTTACATTTTCGCTATTGCATAAATAGCGCTATCTACTGCGAAGGATCGTGCATTATACGTATTTAATACCGCAGTTCAAAATATATGAACTTCATATATTCATTGTATCTGATTTATCATCACGGGTTTATTACGAATCAACTTAATGGCCTGCTCCCAGTTGGCTTGTTAGCTCAATTGGTTGAGCGCTGCACTAGTATCGCAGAGGTCAGTGGTTGGAATCCCGTACAGGCCTGATTTTTTTCAGGTCTGATTTTCGCTATTGCATAAATAGCGCTCTCTACTGCGAGGATCGTGCATCCGTACATACTTTACATATTGTTGCATTGTTTGGGATAGTATAAGTGAAACACATATTGTTAAATTGCAAAAGCTTCAAAACTGTGAAGCGCGAATAATCAATGATGCTTCCTATTTGCAGAGATCTAGTGATGTTCTTTGTAAATTAGGCTGGATGACTTTAGAAACAATGAGAAAACGTCAAAAAGCCATTTTGATGTTTAAAATACTGAATGGTCTCACTCCCCCGTACCTGTCTGAAATGTTTACCCATAGCGCCTCTTTTCATGATTATGGATGCGATCTTCCAGAATGAATCTTACGCTCCCTAAAAGTCGCACAGATTTTTACAGAAACAGCCCGTTTTGCATTTACCGGAGCAAGAATCTCGGAATGATTTGCCAAACAGTTTAAAGGAAGAAACTTCGCTAAAAAAGTTTATGGGTAAGCTGGACTATTACTATCAGCACCAGCAAAACTAGTTCTAGAACATTAAGCTTTCTAATAGTAAATATATAACTTGTATTGCGTACGGATTTATGTAAAACAAATTTTAATATCGCTGTATATTTTAATTTGATAAAATATTGTATTTAAATAAAGAGTTCCATCCATCCATCCATCAATTTATCAATCTATCTATCTATCTATCTATCTATCTATCTATCTATCTATCTATCTATCAATCTATCAATCTATCAATCAATCTATCTATCTATCTATCTATCTACAAAAATACACTAGAATATTCAACTTGTAGACTTGTCTGGTTTATTTATGCGTGTGCAGTAGATTGTCGAGCCGTATTGAACTTTTTCCTTAATTCCCTATTATTTCAAAGGAATAATCTAGGCCTTTGCAGATTATGCTAGCATAATTTTTGGCATAATTTAAGCAAACCGGCATAATTTCTGCCAAGTAGCAAGGCTAGCATAATTCGCATAACTGATAATTATCGGATCATGTTTGCTGCTACAAGTTGATCATTGTTCGTCTCTACTCCCAAGCACTTGGTGACGTTATTCGATGTTTTAAGTTTTAGTTCAAGTCGTAGCATTTGTAGTTCACTGTGAATCACTGAGCGGCGTCTAAAACGGTCTGAGTCCGGGTCTGGGGTGAGCCCGGGTCTGGGGTGAGCCCGGGTCTGGGGTGAGCCCGGGTCTGGGGTGCACCAGAATCGCAAGTCACATTGTAGGCCATGTATAGTCTAGTACTAGTGTGCATGTTAACATGAACCACATGTTTATTTGAATTTCATTGTGGATTTGTTGCATTTCTTCCTTGTAGACCAACGGCTTCTAATTAAAAAATGTATTTTTTGGACTTATTTGCAATTTTTTCAAAGAGCATGATTTTTAAAAAAAGAGGCATAATTGGAAAAAAGAGCACAATTTTAGCATAGTTTCGCCAATAAAAACCAATGCTACTAGAATAATATGCTTATTTTACCAGCATAATCTATAAAGGCCTAAATAAATCCCTTCGGCTACGGTTGCGGTACAGAAGGGCAGTATTTATCACTTAGCTTCTAGCTGAGGCGTTTAATCAGGTAAATACGGTAATTATTTGCTTGTTTATTGAAAGTACTCAAGTACCAGAGACAAATTAAGTTGTAACTAGTTGCGCGTTAGGAAAGTGCTTCTTTGCCCTCCAGTAATATATTCGCTCTCAGGGCTTACGACCAGCCTTCCTTTATTTTTTATAAAATACCTCAGTTACAGCTGTTCACGTGTTTCTATCTATCAGGCAAAGCTTCAAAGAGGGTGGGTCCGCGAATAAATTTCCAGCAACAATTGTAGCTGCTTCGCTTGACCTCTTCCGTGTTATATAGTACATTCCAATTTTCGCTGTGTAGCGTTATATTGAAAGTAAGCAGAGATTTGAACTTGACGGCTCGGCATAAGGAGAAAGAGAAGATCATGGGAACGAGTTTGAAAGCCTCTGACCCAAGTTTAGTCCGTATCATTCGTTGTTCGGTGTTGAGCCGGATGGCTAATGCGTGCACTTGAACTTCCTTGTTGAACCGTGACTGACCCGATGGCTGATTTTCAAGCCGATGGACCAGGTCTTTCTGAACAAGACTCATCCAACACCTCATTACTTGAAAAAGAAAAAAAAGATTACTGGATTCTCCTTTGAATACATGGGCCAAAGAACGAGCACACACACGGACTTAGTTTTCAGTTTCCTTGAAATAAGAAAAAAGCCCCTTGGATCACGCCATTCAACTTGACCAATAATGACAGACTGGCTGTGTGTGACGTCATATCGGAGATGTCATGGGATATGTCATGGTAGGTTAGTCACGTATTCTACTGTTGCATAATCACGGGCGGCTCACTTCACAACGACACTCTTCCTCTACCTGAGTAGTGTCGAAGAAAGTTTACGTAATGCTAAACATTTTAAATCTCCCTCGTGGCTCCTATGAGATATTTGGCTTTTTTGTCTGTTTTCGAACATTGTACTATGCTCTGAAAAATTATGCGCCTACACCATCTGGACTGAAATCATCACCTCCGAGAAAAACCTGGCTGTACCAAAATATATCTGTGTCATTTGTACACTCCTTCATTTCAGCTATTTTATCAGTCTACTGGTGAGTTCATAACCCATTCACTCGACCTCTTTTACCACTGTAAACCTCTGAATGTCACACTCTAACCTAGGCTTGTTCAATGGGAAAATTCATTGATCTTCTTTGTTCGTGATCTTCGCAGCTTTTTTGACGAACCAGCGATGTTGACAAATATGCTCACGGCATGGAGTTATACAGCCTTTTACCTAATTACCTTCTGTACTGGTATGTCTTTATCTGTTAAGTATTGAAATCTGCACACCCAAGGGTCAAGTCAAATGTATCGAAATTACTGAACGCCTCGCAAATTCAAAAGTCGCATAAGTTACATAAGGTAAACATGTAGTAACGTAAGACTTTGATCTTAGATCGTACTCATTTGCTAACGACTGTGCTGGTTTCTTGAAGATCTTTGAACTTGGAAAGCCCCTGTTAAACCGTAAACGTCCCAATAGACAAAAACTCCAAAAATAAATTTACCCAGGGGAAAATGGTAAGTTGCACTATGCTAAGCAACTGGTGCTACCAGTGATCGATGCTATGCATTAGGGTTAGATAGCGACGTATTTGAAATTGAAAGTTTGTTTTACTTTCCATTTTGAATATTATAAAGAAACGTACACTGGTTATTGTATTCAGTTGCTTTCTCAAACCTCCGCCCCTAAAAGATATTCTTGTACCTCTTAATCTTTCCTATTGATTTCTTTGTCCACTTCTACAATGTTTGTAGGCACCCCCTTGCTTTACTTCAACAAGGGGGTGAACTGCATCATTTGCCATTTTTGCAATTATTTAACAGTCCCCCCCCTGTCACCTCCACCCAGTTCAGATATCAAGATTTCACAAGAAATTAAAATGGTAACAGAGAAATTAATTCTACAAAATCTGACCATGATCAGTTTGTTTTTCTTGCTTTGCAACTTCATCTTTCAAAATAAGGAGGCCTTGCCACTCAGTCTGAAATCTAGTGTCAAATTTTCCATCTCAGTCCAAGTGCTAGCAGTGTAAACTTAACTCTCACCATCAATTTGAGTTCATATATATTTTTTTAACCCTTTCACTCCCTAGATCTCATCAGTATTTCTCCTTACTACCCACCAATTTTTATCTTACTTCAGATAATTTTATATTGGATCAACTAATAATCCTCTAATAGTTGTCTTCTAGTTATAAGATTGATGATATAAGGAGAAATTCTGTCTGGATCACTCAAGGGAGTTAAAGCGTTAAAATGTACAAAATACCTGTACATTGCATATGATAATCCTGAGGTTTTTCAGGAATCATGGATGGTGTCTCACATGAGATTGATCTCTATTACAGGATATTTTATTCATGATTTCTTTGATATGCTGATGTATGATGCCAGTAATTCTGTGAGTCTTCTCCTACACCACATAGTGGTAAGATACATTTGTGTTTATTATTGTTATTGTGTTAATGTGGGTTATGATGCTCTGTTAGATCCACAACCACAGTTAAAATCTGCATGTGGCCTGCTACAGTATCTGTTTGGTTCAGGATCTTGGGAAAAACGTGTGGGTTAGGTATTTAATAGGCAAGGTGTTCACAAGCATTAGATTTTTTGGGGAGCTTTTTGGTAATGCATGTAACTTTTAATTTTCTGTAAATTATATAATTATATCTAAATTAAATATGACTTCTTTTGTTACAGGTATGCATGGCCTTTTCTATTGCAGTTTTCAGCAAAATGTACATCGCCTTTGCAGTTTGTTCTCTTTTAATGGAAGTCAACAGTGTCTTCCTACATTTTAGACAATTGTTGAACCTTCATGGAGTTAGCAAAACTTGTCTGTTGTACCGAGTAGTGCGTATTGTTGTGTTAATGACATTTGTGTGCTTCCGATTCCTTACCTCTGCATGGATGACGAATTTTGTCATACAGCATCGCAATGACTTACCATTTACACATTTCTTATTTTCTGCAACTGGTATGGCTATTATCTCAGGGCTCAATATTCAAATATTTATGGCATTTTGGCGAGCAGAATTTAAACCCAACCAAAATAAGCAGAGAGACCATTAAATCCTCAGCTTACCACAACATTTATTGTCCAACACAGTTCAGAATTTTAGGTTTAATAATTACAATTCAAACTGACTAAAATGAAACACAGTTTCCCAGACTTGCAGGGAATCATGTGTGTTTCATTTTAGTCAGTTTGAATTGTATTTCGCTCTACACTCATGTGTATTGAGTACTTTCTAGCAGCATTTACGAAAATTTCCCACAACAAGGTTTAATAATTATATTATGAATAAATTGGTGTTACAGTGTATGTATTGAACCGATGCTTTACAAGTTGATATTATCGAGATAGAAATGAAATATAAAAGATCTCAGATCAGTGTATAGAACTTAATGTGTTCATCATGATGCAGTGATGAAAATGTGTTGACATGGCACTGGGTCTTTCAACATATGCATTGCTTTCTCCTTTTTCAGAGGGGTCTTAACACGTCATCAACACTGATGAAGGTAAAATAACCCTTGTGTGACTGAGTGATCAAAAATGTTCTCTGTATGAGAGTTCTACATTTGCTTAAATTGTTTTGGAAGAACAATGAGTTAGCTTTTTGCAAGCTATGTTTATGTTCAGATAATCACAGCACTTGGAAGTTGTGAAACATGTTTGAAATCAAATTTTTATAAATTTTTTTTTTAATGTCACTGATGTCTAATTGTGAAGAGGGCATCAAATTTTTTGCTTGTGGATACAAAGTTATACATTTATGGTGATAAAAGCAATTAATGTTGTATTAGAAACTCTACACTGATAAGCATCCACGGACAATGCTCTTAAAGTGACTTTTACAGGCTACATATATCCCCTAGCATTTTTTTCCAAACCTGAATGAAAAATAAAATAATTGTTTCATGAAAGGAGTGAACTAATCAGAGTAGCCTGCAGAACTGGCACGAATTTTTTTGATGTTTTTCAGTCAAAGGGAGGCATGTGCATGGGAGTGTGAAGTGAGAGTCCTGGGGGAAGGAGGGAGCACAAAGAAAATAATGCCTGTATGGTGATGCTATTGCCCAAGCTGTTCCTTTGTTCATATATGAGCACAGCTACCCAAGTGGTTATTTAATTTCATGTGAACACAGCTTAAACTTTAGTGTGGGTGGGTACAGCTGTTAATATATATTTTTTTGCATCCTTTCCCACACATGGGACTCACACTTGGAGCTAACCATGTACTTGCCTATGTTCAACTGAAAACACACAAAAGAAATTGCACTGGTTCTGCAGGCTGTAATTGGAGCGATTATACCTTGTTTTGGATCTCCAATGATTTTACACCTGCTGAACTGCTATTTAAAAATTTTGGAGTGGTAATTTAATACCATTTTAAATTTCTGTGCATTTTGTTTCAATCTATAAACTGCACCATGGCAACTGGACCCATGTAGGAGGCAATTACTACTAAATTCTATCCATCATGACTTTTGAATGATGCCATATTAACCACAAGTATGTGTGTGGTTGATTAATTCCCTTGAGTGAATCAAGCATTTCCTGGCAGGCGCTAGAGGAGTGATGGGACTGGAGCACTGATGCCTATATTCTTTGTATCTGCTACCTTGACCACACATTCAGTAATGGAATGTTTTGTATTTCACTCTTTTTGTTTCCTCCTTTTACCTGAGCTTGAGAAGGTTCATATTCCTAATTAATATCAGGGTGATAACTCAAGAGAATCATTTGAATAAAGAATGTATCAGTCATACTAAAATTTTGATATTCATAAATTTGTTTTCATAAAAGCTTGATTATAAAATATGTGCAACAAAGTTGAATAAGTAGAGAACAACATTGCAGTGTAGTGCATGGTTTGTAGAACTAACACACTAATGTATTGTGAATTCATCAATCCTTTTCGTGCCTCGTGGCACATATGGCCTTCACAGAGCTTTTTCACTCCTCTCGATTGATTTCAAAATAATGGTGAGGCACTTTTGTCATTCCAAACTACAAGGTTTCATGTACCTATGTAGTGAATAGCAATTCAAACCCCACTTTTTCTCAAACTTTTGATTTTGTAAGAGTAAGTAATGAAATCAAAGAAGGAGTTAATCAACAAACAAGTGGTTACCAAAAAGGACTTAAAATTCTCCACCTCTCTGGAGTGAAAATGCTGTAGAACAAACTTAGGAACACTGAAAAGAATCACTTGCGAGTAACATGGTTGAAAATCCAAATATGTCATTGATATATTTATAGTTTTAAATGCCTTTTGTTTCCCGCGTTATCTGTTGTGTTTGAGTAGGATCCTACATCGACCGAACAAGTTGCACCATGATGCAAAATTATCGGACAATTATCATGCAGTAATCCTTGTCTTTGTCAATATTTTTCCTCTGAACAATTCCATCAAAAAACAAAAAAACAAAAAAACAAACAAACAAAGCCATCAGAAAGAGGCCAGCTCAAGGGTTTCAAAAGGGTTTCAACTTTTCATCTTCATCACTTAACTTGGAAAAAAAGATGCTGATCTGAAAAAGTACAAGGAAGTCTACAACATTTCCTGTCAACGTATGATGTGAAAATTATTGGGAGGATTATAAAATAAATAAACCCCCATCTAGCTTGTTGGTATGTTGGCTGATAGTGAGCAATAATTAGAAAGAGTCAATCAATTCCTGTCACGGTATGGAGTCTACAGTGTGTTGGTGGCTAGACTTTGGCTAGACCAGAATTCTAAACATCTGTCACCAGGCAGTAGTTGCACTTCTGTCCTGCATTATAAAGTCTCTGACATGACCACTATAACCTTTCTTGGCTGGCAACAATTCAATAGTTTTAATTCTGATTTTCGTTGATGTACTAATGAAAATATCAAAACAATTATGTGTTTGGCTTTTGAAATAAGGTATATGTTTGGCCAGAGAAAGGTTATTTAAAAGGTTTATTGACAATGGGGTTTGACACCTTAAACACAATTTTGCAACACTAAAAGTGAGGGGCTAACCTGCATGAAACTCTACGATTCCCATAAAAAAATCTTAGACTGAGGCAAAGTTTGAGCAACTCATTCGGCTACTTATCACAAGTTCCAAGGCACCAATGGATCTGCAAAAATTATACCTGGAATAAGAACTCTAAATAACTATAAATTGTAATATATAAAATAGAGGTCTCCAAGAAAGCGCTCTAAAAGCTTGTCAAGGTCTATTATAAATTTACAGGTCAGATAGGTAGAATATAACTTTTTGTAAATAATCAAATTAATATCATTGTCCTTGTTCTTGATGTATCATAAGAATTGATCAGTAAATGTCAGAAAACACACAAAAAAGAATAAACAAGACAGCTGTTTTACTTATAAATGAAAACAAGCGAGTCTCTCTTTTTTCCGAGACGTTTGCCATTATTAACAGTGGTCAGATCTTCAATTAATTCAAGAGTTTCTTTTACAAGCTGTTTGTCTGCAGTCTCGCGAAAATTTTCTGTGTGCGTCAGGAAATCAAGAAGCAGATTTCCGTTGGTTGAATTCTCATCAAACACTTCGGTGACATCGATGGAATATTCTTGTGTGTGTATATCGTATTTCCAGCCGTTATCGTCAGCAGCGCGGGTGATTTTCTCGGCTGTGTCGTATATTCCTTTATCCTTTCGTTTTCCATGCCACTTAGTGTTCTGTTTTAGAGTGATCGAATACATGAGGTCATGCCCTGAGAGGATACAGACGAGGATTCCATGGTCGTGTAATTCTTCCTCAAAACAGTAAACTAAAGCGTCTTCGATATCTACGTGATAGATGCTATGGATGAAATGCACAAAATCAAACTTGATTGATTCGCCACAACCCTTCTGGCCTTCTTGGTACTCTTTAAATGTTTGCTTGCAAAAATCAAATTCTGCAGCATTTGGGTGTGGCAGGATTACAATGGCTGCTTTGTAGAGTCCGCACGATTATTCGTTGGGTTCGATGGCTCGGTTGAAGATCTTCATTTGACGGCCGTGCTCACTTTTCTTTAACTCTTCCGTCACTATTTTCAAGAATTCCAAATCTATTTCCCCTGATCCACCTCCAACACTTAATACATTTAGACACGATCGTTGTTTACACGTTACGAACAATGTCTCAACTAAAGGAGGAAGTTGCTCTCGTAACAGTTTAACATTTTTGCTTCTCTGTTGAGATTTCTCTAAAATTACCTGGCCACTCTTGAAATAGTGCTCTCCAAATTGTAAAGGAAGTGACGTCATTTCTTGTTCTCGTAGATTTCAACCTAAATCAGTCATAATCAGTCATACCGGTACCAAGGTTATACGCTCGCAGTTTCTCGCTTAAAAGACGACTGTGATGATGCAATCAATTTTGAACGTGATTAGAACCTGACTGTAGGCCCTTCTCGATTATGCTAGTTAAACTGGCATTTCATGCTCCTAACAATACTCTTTTTTGCCCATTAAATGCTTAAATTATGCTCATTTTTCAAACTCATGCTCCTTTCAGGGCCCTAACGAGGTATTTAGGTTACAAATGATCCCAATTTTCATCCATTGTTTGTGATGTCTGTGATCCATGACCCAAAATTTCGGATAATTTTGATCCTTGATCCCGAAAAAACCGGAATGGTCCCGTTTGAAAAAAATTGATTCCATTCCCGACGTAGTGATCCCTGTTTGCAGGCTATGTTGGAGAAGCTTAAGCGATGTGTTGGCCATGATCTTCGACTGAAAATAGTATTCCAAAAAGCATTTAAATGAAGACGCACAAGAACTTAAGATCGATATGGACTTCTCATAACATGAAATAACATGAAATAATGAAAGGAGCGAACTCGTTACACTCCGCGCTACCATAACGCAACCGTGACAGCCCTTGAGGAGAATTCCTCATTACATGTCATATTGAGCAACTTTTAATACAGTTGTCTGTCAGTTTTGGGTAAGACCTATGCCTGATGCATAACTGTGTTATAATCCATCAAGGAAAGTTTATTTATTGTTATGTTCCGTACTCCGGCTCGATAAATGAGGTGAACACAGTTTTAAAACATATGTATCAATCGCTCAGCCAAATGAAGCATATGAAATAACTTTGTAATGCACTTACTGCATGTTTGAAAGTTGATCGGTTAGGTCACAGAAACCCTTTGTTTGTCCCTCTGCAGAGAGCTTGGAGAATTGAAGTTTCTTGAAGTCGTTAGGAGTGTTAAAACACCAAAAACAGGCAAATTATGCTTTGGCAACAAAAACGTAGATAAAATTGGCGGAAAATGCTGAAATGTGCCGTAAATTGGCCAAAATTTTAACCGTTAGCCGTAAAAGCCATGACCCCATTGAGAACCTCGGATTCACGGGGGTACTA